CTGTAGCACCCCACCCAAAGCTGCAGCATCGAAGTTCCTCAGGCTCTGTAAGGAACAGTAAGAAATAAACCTGCATGCATAAGGGAACATTTATTTCTCTTGATCTTGGTAGAAGTAGAGGAGAAAGGTCTCCTTTGAGAATTTATATTAACAAGGTAGTCCTTACAGCATCTCAATTCCCATACCAACTGTGTTCCCAAAAACTCAAATGGAAAATTTTAAAGTTACCTTAGGTTCACTGTACCTCCAAGAAAGTGTGTTTGGGGAGGAAGGCAAAGAAACAACAAAAATTATACCAAATAGAAAGCATATAAGAGGATTTAAAATACTAGTATATCAGGAATCAAAATAAATGCTGTCCAGCTGGTGTGGCTCAGCAGTTGAGCAGCTACCCAGGAACCAAGAGTTCACTGGTTCAATTCCCCATCACAGCACATGCCTGGGTTGCAGGCTTGATCCCCAGTAGAGGCTGTGCAGGAAGCAATGGATTGATGACTTTCTCTCTCATCAATGTTTCTTTCTCCCTCCTCTCTCTCTAAAAATCAAATACATGCTAATATAATAAAACCTCCCAATAAAATATAAAGATTATCAAATGAATATTTTAAAATACCATGTATTGCTTTGAAGCAGAGTAATTCCTCCTTTGGAAAACTGCTGTTTGAACTATGTTATTCTTAGACAGTCTCTTATTCTGTAGGTCAACTCTGTTATTTTTAGACTGTAAAATAACTTTTTTTTGCTTGAATATAAAAGATAAACTTAATTGTCTGACCTTGCAAGCTAGCCATCTAACTGATACACTGATATTGATGCCAGGTGCCTGTATAGATGTTACTCAAGGTTATAGGTGTTTGTGTAGATATGATACTCAAGTTTACAAGTTGTCTGTATAGATATGACAGGTGCTTGCTAGATATGATGTGTACTCAAAGTTACAAGCTGTCTACAAAAATAACTTACACAAAGAACTAGAAGGATATAAAAAGGAAATATTTCCTCCTGTGTTTGTTCAGAATTTGATAGAGGTAATCTGCTCTGAACCTTCACACAATAAAGATGACTCCTAATTGGCTCATTAAGGCATCTTGTCCCTTATCCCTTTTAGTTCCTAGGGAACAAAAACTGAAATACAATCTTTAAGGGCAAAATCACCAGGTACCAACCAACTTATAAACTGAGCTTGTTTTTGAGTGCTAAGGATTTCTACTGAAGACAGCTGTCTGCAGTACTATACCAGATAATTTATTCTTTAATGTAGTATTACTTTGAAAAATGTAAATCTCATGGTTGGGGCACATGAGGTAAATACAGCATACAGATATCTCCATCACCAAATCATATCTGGAATAAGGGCCATATCAACCCAACCTCCAATTTCTGTTGGTGATTCCAGTTGACACATGTAAAACTAAGTGCCAAGCATTATGCTAAGTGACCAATAAATAACAAATATTATCACAGGTGTGGATAAGATCAAATATCCTCAGACTCAGGTTATGAACACAAACAGCATCAATTGAACAAAACTTTTATCATATAACTCTTTTTTATATATTTTTATTGTTGATAGTATTACAGATATCTCCCATTCCCCCCCTCCTTTATATCCTATAATTCTAATCAACTCTGAGCTTCAGAAGCTATAGCCAAAAAAAAGGAACACTGTGCTAGATGGTCTTTCTTCAATGCCTTTCATTCTTCTGTGTCCATGGAAATGATGTTGCAGCCCAGCCAGTGTGGCTCAACGGTTAAACCAGGAAGTCAAGTTTCCATTGGGTCATGCCAGGAGACAGCCAATCAATGATTCTCTCTCATCATTGATGTTTCTATCTCTTTCTCTCTCTCTCTCTCCCTGAAATCAATAAAAAATATATTTTTAAAAATCAACGTTGCATATATGGGTAACTCATTATCAAAGACTCTTGCAAGGTTTCTTTACACTTTTGAAAAAAGGGCAAGGAATTGCTAGAAGCCTTTTAACTGTCTCAGTCACAAAATGTGTAAACGGCCACCATCTTTTGGCTATTTTGTGCAGTTTCCTTTCTTGGAGAATTTTATTTATTTATTTATTTATTTATTTATTTATTTATTTACTTATTTACTTATTTATTTATTTTTAGAGAGAAAACATTGACTTGTTCCACTTTTTTATGCATTCATTGGTTGACTCTTTTAAAATATATATTTATTGATTTTTTTCAGAGGAAGGGAGAGGGACAGAAAGTTAGAAACATTGATGAGAGAGAAACATCAATCAGCTGCCTGCAACACCCCCCCCACGGGGTTTGTGCCCGAAACCAAGGTACATGCCCTTGACCGGAATTGAATCCTCTATCCCCTGAGCCAAACCGGTTTCGGCAATTGGTTGACTCTTGTATGTGCCCTGACCAGGGATTAAACCCAAAACCTTGGCCTATCAGGACAATGCTCTAACCAATTGAGCAACCAGGCCTGAAACTAGTCACTGGAATTTAAGCAGTCATCCTCAGTTTAACCCCAAGGATAGTTCTGAGAAATGCACTTGAGGCAATTTTGTCATTGTGAGAACATTATAGAGTGTACTTAACACAAACCTAGATGGTATAACTTCCTACACACCTAAGCTCTATGGTATACCACTATCATATATGTTAGTCCTTGTGTGGCACATGACTATAGCACATTCCATTTCCATAGGTCCCCATTAGCATTGCCCATTGCTCAAAGTAAAAACTCTGAATAAATTTATACCAAAATGACACAGTGAGCCACAGACTAGGCCAGTGCTAGGCAAACTTATTATTCAACAGAGCCAAATATCAACAGTACAACGATTGAAATTTCTTTTGAGAGTCAAATTTTTTTAACTTAAATTTCTTCTAATGCCACTTCTTCAAAATAGACTCGCCCAGGCCATGATATTTTGTGGAAGAGCCACCCTCAAGGGGCCAAAAGCTGCATGTGGCTTGAGAGCCGAGGTTTGCCGACCACAAGACTAGGCTATGTAAAAGAGTTATGGATGCTACAGTGTATGATCCTTCCCCATGGGTACACAGTCCTATCTGCACAGAGAAAGAAAAGGACCCAGGTGCCTTGTGGCTTTAAAGCTAGAGTCTGGAGCATGCCTGGAAACACACAGCTCCCCCTCAGGCCTGTTGCCCATGAAGGACATTTTCCCAGCTGGAACATCACCTCCAAATTAATCTCCAACCAAACACTGTTTAGTGAAGAGTAAGAGTCTCATCAGATTAAGCAATCCATCCGGCCTTCATTTAAGGCTTGCTTTAGATTTTACATGCTGGATCCTTCAGCATGACTCTTACACTTCTAGCAGGTTCTTTTCTTGTTTCTGGCATTTGCTTTTACTCTCTTTCCTTCATCTCTTAACAATCTACACATTCTTCTAATATTTAAAACTCCTCTGGCCATAAAGTCTTCCTCAGGAGCACTAGCCACCACCACCACATTACCTTCTGCTCTGCCTCCCATACTACTCCATTAATTTTGAAACCATCTATTTGATTTGGTATTTATAACATTTAAGAGAATTTTATAATTTTGCAATTCTATTTTAAAATGTGAAATAACTGATTTAGACCCATGATTTTAAGTGGATATATGTAACAGAATTTAATCTTTTCAAGTAATATTAAGATTTTAATATTTACCAGCCATATAGTTTAATATACATGGCTTCAACAGAGAGCTCAGGCCCAGTGGTTGATCTTAAACCTATGAACCAGATCAGGGCTCGGTCCCCAGTAAGGGCATGCAAGAGGCAGCAGATCAATGATTCTCATCATTAATGTTTTATATCTCTCTCCCTCTCCCTTCCTCTCTGAAATCATATATATATTTTTTAATTTTTTTTTTTTTTTTTTTTTTTACAGAGAGGAAGAGAGAGGGAGTTAGAAATATCAATGAAAGAGAACATCAATCAGCTGCCTCCTGCACAACCCCCCACTGGGGATGTGCCCACAACCAAGGCACACGCCCTTGATCGGAGTCAAACTTGGGACCTTTCAGTCTGCAGGCGAAAGCTCTATCCACTGAGCCAAACCGGTTTTTTTGGCTATATATATATTTTTAATGTGGTAACTGGGGGGAGAGGGGGGACTCGAGGGAAGTGAACTCAGTAATTGGATTTTGTCAAATAACTTAATCGCTTAAGAAAATAAAATATATTAACTTTATAAATGTACTTCTGTATAGAAATTAAAAAAAAAAAAAAAAAACCTTTAGGAAAAAAAACACCTTTAGCCCTAGCTGGTTTCATCATTTATGTTTCTCTCTCCCTCTCTGAAATATGTTTTTTTTAAGTTTAAAAACAAACAAATCTCTTTAACCCGGTGGGCGTGGCTCAGTGGTTGAGCTAATGAACCAGGAAGGAGATCCGGGTTAGATTCCTCTGGTTTGATTTTTCGGTTGGGGCTCTATGCTGGGTTTCGGGCTCTGGGGCGTGCAGGAGGCAACCAATCAATGATTCTCTCTCGTCATTGGTGTTTCTATCTCTCTCTCTCCCTCTCCCTTACTCTATGAAATCAATAAAAAATAATTTGAAAAAAACTTAAAGGGCCCTTCAACGGGGCAAAGCAACACATGTTCGAGCAAAAGGAAGTGTGTTCTGCTCAAAGGGAACAAGAACCAACCTAGAAAAAGATGGGATCGTCTTTCTTTTCTACTTCATCGCCTGCCATCCTCGTTAAAAAAAATAAAATAAAAAAGTAATACTATTTAAAAGCATAAAACCAGCCACCAGAAGTGCCGTTTCCTCAGGGTCTGCGCCAGAATGCCCAGGCCCCGCTTCCGCTCCGGTGAAGAAAGGGAGCGCGGCTCGCGGGCCTCCCAGGAGGGTCGGCCCTCAGAGGGAGGCAGGGATAGGAGGCCCAGAGGGTGTGGGGCGCAGGGAGGTGTCTGGGGCCCGAGGCCACCTGCGCTGCGGACGGCGAGCTCGGCATCCGTTTCCTGTGTAGGGCCTCCAGTCCTGGCTTCCCCTAGCTCTGCGGCCCGCCGTTTATATGATGAGAATAGGAGGGCCTGGACTATCAGCCAGAAAAGCGTTTTCAAAACCGTTTTTACAGCCCACAAGGCTCGGCCCAGGCCCACGCGGGCGCTGCGGCACAGGCCGGAAAAGCCACCCGCCGGCACTCGCGCCACCCCCGCGCCCGCCGGGAGAAACCACACGGCGCACCCCTCCGGGAGCCCGGAAAGGTATCGTCCCCGACCTCTGATTGGCCAGCGGGGGCCGGAGGCGGGGCTTCCGGAGCCTGGTTCCGCGCGCCAGAGCCCGCTCGCCGCATTGCGAGCCGGGCCAGGAGCGGGCGCCATGGTGAGGAGTGGTTGTGGTGTGCAAGCCGGGTGAACGCCGCGGTTCGGGCCTGGGTTCGGGCCTGGATTCGGACCCGAGCCCTGGCCGGAGCTTGGGCCTGCCGTGGGGGTGGGGCCGGGTGGACGCGAGGGCCGCATTGGCGCTGACGCCCGGCTTCCTCTCCAGGTGCTGCTGCACGTGCTGTTCGAGCACGCGGTCGGCTACACGCTGCTGGCGCTGAAGGAGGTGGAGGAGATCAGCCTGCTGCAGCCGCAGGTGGGTGCGAGCGGTGGGCTCTCGGGCCGCCACGACCCCAGCATGCACCGCGCGCTCCCACGTGGCCGACCGCGCGCGATGGGGTAGGAGCGGAGCCGGAAAGCTCCTTTGCAGAGGGTCCTTATCTGCCTCGGTGATTAGAATGGCCTTAGGATAATTTAGAATTCTCCCACCCTGAGCCGACGAAGAAGTAACGGGATTTAGGGTCCATGATAGGTTCGTTCCCTTCGGCTCTTAGGTCTGACCAGGGCTGAGAGACGCCGCTTTACTGCGCCCTACAGGCAGGAGCGAAGGAAGGAAGACACCCTCTCTCCCCTCCTTCCTTTCCCCCAGGTGGAGGAGTGCGTGCTCAATCTGGGCAAGTTCCACAACATCGTTCGTCTCGTGGCCTTTAGTCCCTTTGCCTCATCCCAGGTTGCCTTGGAAAATGTCAATGCTGTGTCTGAAGGTGAGTAAGCTACCTCCAGGGAGTTCAGGAAGATAAGCCAACATATAGGCCCCGCCATTGTCTAGTTTCTTTTCCTAAGGAGCTTGTGATAGAATTTGCCTTTCCTCGTCTAAATTGTTCAAAATCTGGTAGATTCTGGGTAGTATTTGGTGTGTACAGGATGTAATTTAGAGTAGTCTTTAAAAAAAAAAACATTTTACTGATTTCTAAAGAGAGGAAGGTAGAGGGATAGAGAGCCAGAAACATCGATCAGCCACCCCCTGCATACCCCCTCACTGGGGATAATGTGCCTGCATGAAGGTACATGCCCTTGACCAGAACCAAACCTAAGACCCTTCAGTCCACATGTCAACGCCCCATCCACTGAGCCAAACCGGCTAGAGTAATCTTAACAGAGCTCAATATCCGGTGGGGGGGAGGGAGGAGTATGGTAGGCTAAATGTTATATTTAAAGCACATTGCCAGCTTGCCATCTTAGACCTTTTGGTTCCAGAAGGCAGATTGGGAACTAAATGTCTTCATGGTGCTTTGGAGTATGTCTTAAGCTTTCAGTTATGCATTTCACACTTGTACCGTTGTACCCCAGTTCTGTACCTCCCGTGGTTAATGCAGGCTTTGCAGTGATGACTTGAATCTGTCAATCCCCTGAGTGCAATCACTGATGTCTCTATGCTTCTGAGCAAAGCCAAAAGCGGGAGGGATCTAGTTAAACCATCCCAGCATGCTCTGCTGGACCAGTGGTCTGTCAAGCAACAATTGAAGTGACAGGATCCCTTTTGTGATTTAAGCCGGCTCTTAGTGGGAGCTCTGTGTTGTTTTTTTTTTGCCCTGAGGTATTGTTCATGAGGACCTCCGCCTGTTCTTGGAAACTTACCTGCCAACCAAAAAGAAGAAAGTACTCCTCGGGGTTGGGGACCCCAAGATTGGTGCTGCTATACAAGAGGAGTTAGGGTACAGCTGCCAGACTGGAGGTGTGATAGCTGAGATTCTTCGAGGTGAGACCGTCCATTAACTTTTATGCTATTCTTAATTGAGGGGAGGGTTCTGGAAACAGGGTGCCTAGGGTTGCTTCTGGGTAGCTGTCCTGCTTGGCTGTTTCCTGTGGGTGCAGGAGCTAGCTCAGCCTTCCCTTGCTCATAGTCTTGCCTTCCTCTAGGTGTTCGTCTGCACTTCCACAACCTGGTGAAGGGCCTGACTGATGTGTCTGCTTGTAAAGCCCAGCTGGGGTTGGGTCACAGCTATTCTCGGGCCAAAGTTAAATTTAATGTGAACCGGGTGGACAATATGATTATACAGTCCATTAGCCTCCTGGACCAGCTAGATAAGGACATCAATACCTTCTCCATGCGTGTCAGGTAAGGGGAGGAATGGCCTAGCTCATTTTGGATCCTGAAATGAGGACTGGCTTCTGTGGGGTGGGACTGGGCCTCCTGGTGCTTACCACAGGCTGTGTGCTTACACTGACTGTACAGAAATAGGAGGCAGAGTAAACCTACCCCATATACACCTCAGCTCAGGCTCTTTGTCTGGTCTGAATTGTGAATGGGGAGACATTGAATCAAGGAGGTTTGGGATCTGTCTTGTTTTTACTTCTGGGCAAGGAGTAGATGGTGGCTATAGGTTTATTTGATATGTGGCAGTTTGGCCAGGGAGTGATTTTTGCTCTTTGCAGGGAGTGGTATGGGTATCACTTTCCTGAGCTGGTGAAGATAATCAATGACAATGCTACATACTGTCGTGTCGCTCAGTTCATTGGAAACCGAAAGGAGCTGAATGAAGAAAAGTTGGAGGAGCTGGAGGAACTAACAATGGATGGGGCCAAGGCTAAGGCTATTCTGGATGCCTCACGGTCCTCTATGGGTCAGTACAGAACCTGGCAGCCAAAATAAGGTATGGGACTGACTATCTGGCCCTTAACGTTCCTCTTTGGTGTCCTTCAGGCATGGACATATCAGCCATTGACTTGATAAACATTGAAAGCTTCTCCAGTCGTGTGGTGTCTTTGTCAGAGTACCGCCAGAGTCTGCACACCTACCTGCGATCCAAGATGAGCCAAGTGGCCCCCAGCCTGTCAGCCCTAATTGGGGAAGCAGTGAGTCATGGGGAACAAAAACGGGGGGATATGGAATGTTACGGTTATATATCCATACTGCTCTGTTTCTTGATCCACCATGTTTTCCCCGTGACTTGATGGGCAGAGGTAAGGCGGGATTATGCAGCTGGTAGGTTGGCATATCCAGCGTCTGTGACTAATTCCTTGACTCCTCCAGGTAGGCGCACGTCTCATTGCTCATGCTGGCAGCCTCACCAACCTGGCCAAGTATCCAGCATCCACAGTGCAGATCCTTGGGGCTGAGAAGGCCCTGTTCAGGTACCAGTGAGGGCACCTGCCCGCACTCAGGTGCCACTTCTGGTGTCCACTACTTGTTTGGGGAATCACAGTGATGGCTGACCAGGGCATCCTGACCTATACAGGCCTCTGTTGTGGGGGTGATGGCCTGTCCTGGTGTCTGAGTGATTCCCAGGGCCCAGCAAAGGGACCGAGTTTCCAGGTCAGCGACATTGGGTGCCTTCTGCCTTGGGAGCTGTGGGTTGGCCTGAAGTGGGTTAGACCCACCCCAGCCTAAGGCTCACTCTGGAGATGGAGGGAAAGGGGAGGGGAGGAGCTGCCTGGCTAATAGGGTTGAAATTTCCAGTTGTAAACTCTCCACTGAATGTTATTCTCCCAGAGCCCTGAAGACAAGGGGTAACACCCCAAAATATGGACTCATATTCCACTCCACCTTCATTGGCCGAGCAGCTGCCAAGAACAAAGGCCGCATCTCCCGATACCTGGCAAACAAATGCAGTATTGCCTCGCGAATTGATTGCTTCTCTGGTATGGTTGAGGGAGTGGCATTTGTGAAGAGGGGGCTGGGAGGGTGGGGGGGGGGGAATACCTTAGCTTCTACAATGATGGTAACATTTTTCGTCAACAGCAGTTCACCTAGTGAGTGTTGATACTTTGGGTCTGAGTGAAGCTGAGGGTAGAGGAAATGCGGGGGATGAGTAGTTTGACCCTTTAGGAGCTGACAGGCTTTGTTTACCCACACACACACACCCAGAGGTACCCACAAATGTATTTGGGGAGAAGCTTCGAGAACAAGTGGAAGAGCGGCTATCCTTCTATGAGACTGGCGTGATTCCGCGAAAGAATCTGGAGGTCATGAAGGAGGCAATGGTACAGGTCAGTTGGGGCTTTGCCAGGTGGGGCTTGGCACCGCTAGCTGTTGGAGGTGATGAACTGTCTTGGCCTGACCTTGTAGAGTGGAGGCAAAAAACTGATTTAATGAGCCTGATCCAATGAAGCCAGGAGGGAAACCTCTGTCTGGTCTGAGGTCTTCAGAGCCTTTCAGCACTTTCTTTGGCCAGGCAGAGGAAGCGGCTGCTGAGATTACTAGGAAGCTGGAGAAACAGGAGAAGAAACGCTTGAAGAAGGAAAAGAAACGGCTGGCTGCAATCGCCCTTGCATCTCCAGAAAACAGCAGCAGTACACAAGAGGAGTGTGAGGTCAGTAAGTAGGCAGAGCCTGAGTGAAAATCCTGGGTTGTAGGATTTTCAACTGTAGAACAAAGGATGTGACCTCAAAGTCATAGTCTTGAGTCCAGGCCTTTGAACTGAAACAAGGACTTGAAACCTCTAAAACTGCCTCTTGATTCTATAGGAAGGAGATAGGTGCTGAGAGAACTTGAACAAGAGCCCAGAGAGCTGGTTGTAGCACACTGGTTCCCTGGGCAAGTGTGTTCTGTCCTCGGCTGCCTGCCAGGAGTCCTTCCTCAACTGGGGGTAGTGTGCATTCCTGCTGTTTGTTCTTAATTTCGGCTGTGTGTCTTCCCTGGGGTTTTCATAGCGCCCAGTTTGCCAAACAGTATTTCAGGGTCCCCTATGGAACTAGGCATGGTGGTTTCATTGTGACCAACATGGTGGGGTTTTCTCTTATGGGCTTAAATAATTCTCTCTTCACCTTTAAGTGGGAGTCACCTTTGGGGCGGATTTCCACCATTTTTTCTGCCCTATTTAATTGCTGGAACTTGAATGGGGTGGGGGCTGGAAGTGTTGATACAGTGAGGGACACCATTTCATGCCCATTTCCCCCTTTAGGAACTAAATGAAAAACCTAAAAAGAAGAAAAAGCAAAAGCTCCAGGAGAATGGAACAGA